GCTCCCTCGGCTGACCCCGCTCCAGAAACTCCCGAGTTCACATCTCCTCCCAAGCACTGCAATGCAGCAGCCACTGCCCGGGCTGAGGGTCCCCCACCACTGCCTGCCCACGGCCACCCCCCGGGCCCCCCACCAACCCAACCCGGGGGTCCTACCTCACCCTTCGGTCCGCCCGAAACTTCAGCATGATGCTGGGGCCCTTGCCAGCTCAGCGCCGGCTCCCGGCTCCCACCATGGCAGCGGTGGGCACGGCCAGCCCCGTGCCACCGGCCGCCACGCTACGAGACGGTGGCACATGCCATGGGGACAGCAGGCCCGCGTGGGCAGGGGGATGCCGGCGGTGGGCGAAGGGTCTCGCTGTCCTTTCCCGGATCTCCCAATCTCCCGAGTCCTGCGCCGGTGGCATCGGCGTTCCCGGTGGCAGCGGTAACGGAGCTCCCGTGGGCTCCGGTGCCGCCGGGGTTGGCGAGCCCCGGTGTGCGGCAGCTAGCCGGCAAGCGACGGGGACAAACAGCTCCCGCTCGCGTCCCCGCGCAGAGGAGAGGCGAAGGGCAGCGCTGCACACGCCGCCTCCCCCAGCCCAGGTGCAGCGTTGGGGAGCAGCTGGAGGCAGGCGAAGGGCGAGAGGGGCAGGAAGGGAAATGGGGGGGCTGCTGGGTCCCCCCCAACCCTGGCAGGGCAGTGGTGCACGGGGGGCTGCTCCCCGGGAAGCAGGGGGGGTGTCGCGGCGAGGGAGGCAGCCACGTTGAGATGAGCTCTGCTGCTGCCCTGGATTCACTGCCTGCATCCCTTCCCCCTGCTTCTGTCCCCAAACCATCCCCGTTCCCCCCCGCCTTCCCTGCGCCGCCGTCCCTTCCCCAGGTCACGCCAAGAGAAAATCCAAAGGAGCAGGACGGGCACAAGCACCGACCACCCCGAATAACCCAGCAGCTGCGGCGGAGGGGGGGGGCAGGACCCCGCAGGGCATCCAGCAACGGGGTTTCAGCACCCCCAAAAGCCTGGGGAGCCTGTCACATCCCAGCAGATGAAGAGTGGGGGAGCCCCAGGAGCAGGATTCGGGGTGTCCCACCCTCCGCCTGGGCTGGGCACTTTGGAAAGCAAATGCAAATCCATCAGGACTGTTATGATAATGCCTGGGGAGGGCGGGAAGGCAGCGCTGACATTTCAGAGAAAAGCTCCAAAGAAGGAAGCGGAGCACACAAAGCCAGCTGGCCTCCATCACGCCGTGGCCCCGCTTTGCCAGCACCCCGGGACCACCTCGGGATGCTGACCATGCCCCCCCCAAGCCCGCCGTGCTGCTCAGCCTCTCCCCACCATCGCACCGTTCACCTGCTCCCCCCAAAAACTGGGACCCTGAAGTCCTGGCTGGGCCAGTCGATCCGTTTGGGGTGAGCTGAGGATGTTCCCGCTCTCCTCAGCTGGTCCCTGCTGGGAGAGTGACAGGGAGCAGCCAGGGATGGGAACCCCGTCCCCGGTGTGGGCAGAGGATGTGCCAACACAGTGGCTTTACCGCTCCCGAACACCTAAACCCACCCTTTTAGGGCACCCTGGGCTGGAGGAGCTGAGCGGTGCCACCACGGCTCTCCTCGCCAGCTCACCACCAGCCGCCAGCCACAGGGCAAGACACATGGGCACAAAGAACCTGCCCACCCATGGGCAGCACCAGCCTCGTGCCAGCATCCGCGCCACTGGCAAACCCACCGGCACCGTCTGTCCCCGCGTCCCCGCAGCAGCGACTCACCCGTTCCTCAATCGCCGCCGCCCTCTGCAGCCAAGCAGCCGGGGATCAAGGTCCCCCAACGTCCCATGGGCACGTGCCAGCCCTCCGCCGCGCGGCAAGGCCGGTGCTCAGCCGGTGGCAAGGCCACCAGCCGAAGCTGTGGCCCCTTCTGAGGACGGTAGCCCCAAGGGACAGCGTGGCAGGGGCAGGAAAGGCGACTCCTGGGTGCTGCAGGATCCCACAGATCCCACCCGCGGCTGCGCTGGAGGCACCGTCCCCCCCAGTGCGGGGGTTTCACGCCCCGTCACCCCATTTCAGTGGCATGGAGAGCTGCGCCAGGCTCGGGGGCTGCTCTGGGAGCCTTTAACCCGGGTTCAACCCTGGCTTTGCCAGGCCGGAGCAGGCGCCGTTCTCCCTGCACCAGCTGGGCTATTTCACAGTCATTAGTAGCCGGGGGTGGGCAGGGACACGACAGCCTCCACGGCCCAACGTGTGGACACGCTTCAAGGCTCCGAGAGGCAGCTCAGGGGTGGGGGGTCCCCTGGACCTCTGGGGAGAGCCGCAGGGGAGAGGAGTCAGTGCTTTTTGTTGGGGTAATCACCAAAGAAAACCCCTCTAAACCTCCTCTTGATTTTTCATAAGGCTAAGGAGCGAGACAAGGGAATAAATGCAATAACCGAAGAACAAAACTTGCTCTCAATGCTGCTTTTCTTTCCCCTCCCCAAAGCTGAAGTTTGCTGAGGGCAGGAGGACAACCCTCCTGGCTCCCCCCTGCCCTTCCACAACCAAAGTCACGGCTTTGCAGCTCTTGCAAACCATGGCTGGAGAGGGACACATCCCCGAGCAAAGCCTGAGGACCCCCACAGCCACCATGGGTGCCCCCCTCCCCACCCGCAGCACCCTGCGGTGCACAACCCAACCGTGCTGCAGCAGCCGAGGGCGGGAGGGTGAGCGGCTTTATGGCTGCAGCTGAGGGGGAAAGAGAGTTAATGCTGCCCCAACCGGGACGAAGCAGGTGAAATGGTGACAGGAGGGAGCGATTTCCTGGCACCAGCCCACACCAGGGGTCTCGGTGCACCCAGGGTCAGCAAAGCACCGGTGGGTGATGCCAGCCATGCAGGACCCCCGGCCGGCTGTGTCGGGACCCTTCCTCATGGGAAAGGGCACCAGGAGGGCTGGAAAAAGCCCGCTGAGGGCTGGTGTGGGGCTGGTGTGGGGCAGACAACAAGCAGCGAGCAGCCAAGCAGCCCCCAAAACCCCCCCCCCCGGTGCACGGCAGACATCCGTTAATAGGAACCATTCCTGCACCGCGGCCCTCCCCGGGGTGTCGGGGCTCCCGGCTGTTATCTGGCGGGCGGGAGGAGGGGAGGCACAGGCTCACATCGCCCAGGCGCTGGAGCCTGCCAAGCCCTAAATCCAGAGCAGAGCAGCTGGGCAGGGGGTGATGTGGGGACCCCGACCGGGGTGCGATGCCAGAGCCACAGGCTAACGTCATCCCTCCAGCTCCCAGGCTGGCCGGGTGTCACGGGGATCCAACCGCCTCGTCCTCCCACACCCCAATCCAAATTTCAGCTCCGGCAGCCCCCTCGCCACTCCCATCACCCCAGTCCCTCAAGGGGGGCTCGGCTGGGATGGAGGGGTGACGATCCGGGGCTCTGCCACCCCGGGACAGCGGCAGGCAGTGGCAGGAGGAGGCAGGCGGCCAAGGCTGCCTGCAACCCCCCTCCGAAGCGATAATGAAAACCCTTCGTCTGGATGTTTTACCCACGTTCTCGGGGCAAGCATCCAGGCGGCTCCCAAGCAAGGGGCTTGCATGGCCACCAGCCAAACACGCCCTGCGCCTTGGCCTCCTTCCTCTGTTTTTCTAGCCCTTTCTTCACCTCTCCCTCTTCTCCTGAGCCACAGCCCTCTCCTCCGGCCGGAGCCCTTGAAAACCCTTTTCTCCCAGTTAACTGCAGCGCTCAGCACCCATGCGAAGGGACGCGGGGTCACCCTGTCACCCATGGCCCCTGCCAGGGGGCTGGCAGAGAAAAGCCACCCTCAGATGAGCAAGTGCAAATTGTCTTGTAAGGGGAGCCCAGGAGTAAATCTGTCATAATGCACTAATAAACCAGACCCCCCGACCCCCAGGGCCATCCTGCTCGGTGCAAGTGGGTGCACAGGGCTCGGCTCTGTCCCGCGGGGCCAGCACAGCGCATGCTCGAGATGTAATAGGGAAAAAAAATAAAAAAAAGGAGAAAATAATTTAAATTAAATTCTGCAGGCACAGCACGAGCGGGTCAGGCGGAGTCGCTGCAGCCAGGGGATGAGTGCCAGCAGCTCAGCTCAGCTGCTCCAGCATCTCCACGCTGGGCTGTCCCCAGCCCCGGCTCTCTGCCGAGCGAGGCCCTGGGCTGCTCCATCGCTGCAGCTACTTCAACCCCCGTCGAATGACTCAAGCAGGAAAAAATAAAAACTGGCCCTGCACGCTCCCCACGCCCTCGGCAGGGCAGAGCTGGCCGTGGGGCATCCTGTGCCAGCCCCGGCCCTGGCCAAAAGCCCAGGGCACAACCCGGTGGGAAACGCTGCTCGGCATTTCCGAATCGCTCTGGACTTGTAGGAGTTACATGCCAGCCCGGGGAGAGGGCAGCCAAAGGAGAAAAGGTTGCAGGGGAAGAGGAGATGGAGGCAAAGGCGGGATGGAGAGCTGCAAGAAGCCTCCTCGTGCCTGGCCAGGCACTGCCACGGGCTCCTCAGAGCCCACCCGCAGTCCTGGAAATCCCAGCGCCTGCCGGATTTGCAGCCGGATCAACCTTTGGGAAGAAAGCGGCTCGTGGGCACTCAAAAACCAGAGCTGAGCGCTGAGCCGCACGCTGAGGTTTCCCTTGGGCCCATCCCCAGCATGGCACGGACCAGCACCCGGTTCTCATCCGTAACCTCATCCCTGCCCTCATCCTGGCAGACCCGACATCCAGCACAGCCAGTGTTTCCAGAATGGAAAATGGGGGGCCAGGAGGCAGCGCAGCGCCCCCCGTGCTAACGACCCCAGGCTCCCGCGCAGGCACCGCCTCCTCCTGCGCCCGGCTTGGTGCTGGCACCGGGGCACAGCCGAGCATTGCCCGCACCCCAAACCACGGGGCCCACCTGCTGCGCCCCCCTTCCAGTGCAGCTGCCTCTGGGACGGGGCCAGGGAGGCAAAAGCAAAGGTTAATTTTGCCTCCTGCCCTCATG